CATGTACGTGCTTTGCAGGGTACCTGGGCATAGCTGCATTATGTTCCAAAACTGCAGGCAGTATCAAATAGTTGTTTCATATCATAGGTTCCGCTACTTCAATTAGTCTTTGTCTCTGACTTAAGAAACTGGTATTAAAAAAACTTAACCAGTTAAATAAATCCAGTCTCACCTGATCTCCCTCTTGCTTTTTGAAATGACTTGGTTGATATGACTCCTCTGGCACTTGACAGTATGCTAATAGTGATTCCACTACGATGTGATAAAAAGAGTTCCCTGTAAAGCCATAACTAACACAGGCTTCTCTGACTTCTTCTGCAATCCTAGGTAGTATTTGGCCAGTACTATGCAATGGCTAGCCTTTCAAAAGCCCTCAGTATCAGCCTCCTATAACGGTGGCATTTTTTGTTTTTTTCCAACAACCACATCAGAGGTCAAGATGAGGTTATGAAGGTAGTGTGACTTTAGGTGGAGCTAGATCTTCAGATCTTAAGGTTGCAGCCTGGTGGTAAATTTGCAGTGTCCTAATCAATTTAAACCATCTCTTATTCTGATCTTCTCTCTTCTTATCTCATTCTAGAATCCTAGGGATGGAAAAATCCTATTAGATTATCTAGTTCCTCCTTCTGCTAATGCAGGAGTGTTCCCTACAGAACATCTAAGTACAAGTTGCCTCAGCCAAGTTTCAATAATTCCAGTGATGGGTATTCCAGCACTGTCCTTTATTCAAATTATTCAAAAAATTTCCTAATGTCCTGCTTAAATTTTCCATTGCTGAATAATTATTATTCCCCACTTAAAGCAAACCTGGACAATTCTGCATTCCTTAACAGTGACATATTTCAAATTTGTAGATAAATATATCATTCTTTCTTTATAATCTATCTCTACAACACTTACAATTCTCCTTATCTTTATAGGACAATTCCTCCGTTCCCTTAACCATCTTTGTTTCCCTTCTCTGCATCTTCTCTGGTTTGTCAATCTCATTTGAAATACTGGTAGAACAGTGAAAAACATGCATGGTACTCCAAATTAAGTAACACTGATGCTATATAAAGAGGAATTATTGCCCTTTTAACCTGTGATATCATACATTTGCATGTATGGCATCTCCCTTACATGCAGTAGCTTTCGTTCAGAATAATATTTCCAGAAAAGAAAAGTTTACTGCATTTTTCCAAACCTGAACCTCATTTTATGAATCTGTCATTTTTCTAATCTCTCTAGTTTGATATTTGGGGTGTGATTCTCTTCTTGCACCGGATTCACAAAAGTGTAATTTTGTTAACTTCAAATCACTGACTTATGGTTTACACTGTGTGCATGTGTGTAACTGAGAGGAGAATCAGGCCCTAGATTTGTACTTTATATCCTTTCAGTGTTTACAGAGGATTCAAAGCCAGGAGAAGTTACATCTTAGTTTAATTTATTTTATTTTTTTGCTTCCTTTTTCAGATCATTGATAAAACTACTAAAATAAAATAAAACTCCTACGTTAACACTTGTGAAATCCAAACTGATTGCAGTGCCATTTATAATTATTCTTTGCCCATAAGCCATTTTTCAGGGTTTTTAAAAAGTAGTGTTGATTATGTTTATTTTAATTTAATTTTTTGGTAATAAATGTATTAACGCATGGTTTCTAATGCTTCAAGAGGTCCCAATATGTCTCACCCACTATATGAGCTTCATGTATCATATTAGTATTCTACGTAGATCACAAAAAGTGATCAGACTCATATGGCATGATTTATTCTTCATGAACCTCCATGCTGCTTATTGTTCATGAACCAGAGTGATGGGGTATTATTTGTGCTAGTAAAGAAGAAAGCTGTAGGCACCCGTGTGCTGTTGTGAGAGTGAGAAAGGGCACTCTTGCTAAGCAGTGAAGAAGTGTGAAGAGAAGCTGAATGGGCAATTTGAAAGGTGCCATCATCTCTTCTCTTCTCACTAACTTCATTCAAAGCTAGGGAATGGATCTGCAGTAAGGTCTGAAGTATGGCAGTTTCCTCAAAGCCATTGACCCTCTCTGTGCAGGTATCTTTTGCTACTCTACCAACCTCTCCTTCCTATTCAGAAAGGCCAAAAGGAAACAGGCAGCAGCCCTTGGACCACAGAGTCACTTTCCTCCCTTTACTTTTTCCACAGCCAGTGCCACAGACTAAATGGTATGAGTAGTCACATATAGTTGTAGTTGGTCTCCCCACTCATCCCACCCTTCACCCATTGTCAGAGGCACTGTCCAATAGGACATGAACCACCAGTATAGCTATTACTGCACTAGCCATGCTTTCATTAGTTACTTTTGAGCCATTCTTTGTAAAATCCACTGGGCCAAATTAATCCCTTGTGTAAATCCACTGATTTCAATGGATTTACACAGGCATGAAGTTGACCCATTTCAGCTAATCCTTTGAAGCAACACAAATACTTGAGACAAATTCAGATTGACACCTTTAATTCTTATACGCCTGTCCTTGTGCCATTCAATTGCAATCATGGCTTCCACCTCACCAGGGAACACTCTACCTTAACACCATTGTTGTCAGCTACCTGAATCATCTTAAGAAGACTGTTAAAAAGATAACAAAAGAGTCTGATGGAGTGAAAATGATGCTATATTTATTGGGTAAAAAAGGTGCTTTCATAAAGATAAAGTACATCCAGTATTTCCAGATACACAGGTTAGTACATACCCGTGTAGAATTTCTAAGTATTTTTACACCACTACAGAGCAAACAGGAAATATTCACACTGGTTAGCTTTTCCACGTAAATATAGTTTTAATACCTTCAGTTTTTTGCTCAAATGTGATCTCCATAGAATCAATTCCCATAAAAAAAAACTAGATTTAATTTGCTCTAGCTAAAGATGAAGTTAATAAAGAATATGATTACACAACCAATTTGATTTGGAAAAATTCACAAAACATACTGCATATGAAAATATTCAAAGAAATACAGAAGCGTCCCTAATGAACATTTCCTGGTGCTGAAATAACAGCAATGACTCTAGATAAATAAATGTATATTGAGTTGATCCGAATATGTTCTTTAAAAGGAACCCATATTAATTTAAGATCATCTAAGAAATTCCTACTCTGATACACTGTATTTTCCAACATCATCATCATTTCTCTTTTCGGGATCCATTCCTAAATAGGTGGTAGTAGACTTAAGTTCTATGTAATTCTGTCTTTTAATATGAAATAATATTGCATGTACCAAAATAATCCTATTTTAGATATAACCAAGTTATATTAGCATACAATCTCCAAAGGCAAGACGCATTTTCAAATTCTGAATTCTTAAATCTCCAAAGGCAAGACACATTTTCAAATTCTGAATTGTTAAATCTTCCCTCTGAATTTCCACATTGAGGAAGTTCTAGTTCAATACAGTTGCACTGTATGTACTTTAATAACATATTGGTTTTATACTATTCTGTAAAATATATTTTGTGAATAAGCTATTTCATAATCTTATCTGAAGACACTCACTATTAGCAAAACACTACAAGTCAATTCAGGTTTGCTGTTCATGGATAGCCTTTAAAGACTCTTACAGCCTTAAAGCCAGAGACCCCTATCCAACAAAGCACATAAGCACATGATTAACAGTAAGCATGTGAGTAGTTCCAGTTAAGTGACTGGGACTATTCACAAGCTTAATGTTGGGCACATGCTCAAGTAATGTGCAGGATTGGGCTATATTTCTTAAACTACAGGAATATATTACATTAAATTTTAATTTTCCAGTTTTTGAAGAAGACACTAACCCTAATTAAGGGTATGTCTTCACTACCCGCCGCATCAGCGGGTAGTAATCGATCTAGCGGGGATTGATTTATCTCGTCTCGTCTAGACGCGATAAATCGATCCCCGAACCCGCTCCCCCTCGACTCCAGAACTCCACCAGAGCGAGAGGTGGAAGCGGAGTCGACGGGGGAGCCGCGGCCATCGATCCCGCGCCGTGAGGACCCGAGGTAAATCGATCTAATATACGTCGACTTCAGCTACGTTATTTTCGTAGCTGAAGTTGCGTATCTTAGTTCGATCCCCCGCCCAGTGTAGACCAGCCCAAAGGCAGAGATTTTACATATACTTTTAAATACAGAGATTATGCTTGAATGTGATTTCCAATGACATTCACAAAAGCATTCCAACTATGCAGGAAGTGCTTGTAATTAAAGCTCACACTGCTGAAAACAATATATTTACAAAAGCATTCTTGGATTTATTTTGTTCTGAGCTTATCTGTCTTCAGGCCTCATTTTCTAAAAGGTTATTTAATAGAAATGGTGTCCCTTGTCTCACTCTTCCCCACTAATCATACAATGAACATCTATGGTATCAACCACATACCACAGAATGACAACTAGAGGGATTCTTTCCACACTGGGACTATGGAAGACTATTCCCCTTAATTAATACTACAAAGACTTTTAAAAATAACTCCAGCACATGCTCCATGATATTACCTGGTCTATTTTCCTACCAACAGCTACACCAGCCTAGAGCCTGTCAGGCACCATGGTGATAAGGAAGGAGAGGTTGGTGAATGTGAAAACTGGGAGTGATAAAATGTGACAGATAATGAGCTTATTTACATAAGATCTTCTTCTGCAGGAGCGTTATGCAATTCTTGGCTGCAGGGCATGTTTCTTTTATTTTACTTCGGACATCAAACCTTTACTTTGAATACGTTATCTGTCCTGAGGTAGACTGAGCATGCAGGACTTGTATATCTGAGATATCTGTAGGTATTTTATCCTAGATTGCACCCTTGCTTTTCTTATTCTGCAGAATAATAAGGTGAATAATAATAAGCCTTCTGCAGGCTAAGAATGACACACCCAACTCCTGTGGATATTTATACGAAGAAACACTCGTAATATTTTAGCACCTTAAATGCTTCATGCAAATGTATCACTAAATGAAGCAGCATTTAAAAATCACAACAGAAAACAGCACAAATGAGAAAATGAAATGTACATACCACAGTGCTTCCATTGTGCATATTGTGTGTGTCCTTATGGGCGTGGGCACAGAAATCTATACAAGCTGTAACACCAGAGAAAGGCCTACCATCCTTGGATCCAAGCCGACAGTCTGGGCCCATGTGTTCATTTTCCACCTAAAAATAAAATAACTAGGTTTATTTGGAGATGGCACTGAGAAACTTCAGACTCTGTGGGACACACTAGCATTGATTTTTAACTAAATAAAGGTAATCAGGTAAACTGCTTTATCAGAAAGTAAATACTTCATTGTGCAACCTGTAATTAACATGTGACATTCAGTATAAGACATTACTGAGACAAACAGCTGAGCCAGATTTAAAGAATTATTAGACTCCTATAAATAATAAAAACTCTCTAGTTACAAAATAATTTACCAGGGTTATTAATCTTCAAGGCATAATCTGAACAGCAGCTGGGGTCAGGAAGACATTTTCTCCAGGACACAGCATTACAAAATTAAGGTCACTTATCACCGCTGCCTGAATCTCACAGACCTACCTGATTCTGAAAAGCATCAGGAGCAAGTTTCTTATAAAGTGGAGCCACATCAGTAGCTAAAGTTTGCAAATTATTTTCAAGATGTTCTTCCTACAGACAAAAATATTTACAGAGTTATAATTTACTTGGAACATTTAGCCCAGTTTGGAGAGGTACTAACACAAACCATCAAAGTCAGGAAATTCAAAATTAACATGGCTTCAATTTTATATTTTATTTATTTTACTTCTGTTTTCTGTGTTTAAAATAAACCTGCTGTTTGACATAGCAAAGTGTCAAAACTGGTAAAAACACTGTAAATTTAAATAGTCAAACAAATAACAGAGTAGTATACAATTCATGTTTGCTAATGGATTGGGGGCACTACTTCATAACCAGTACACAAGGGGTCAACTTCAGTTTCGTTTTCCCCTTCACTTGCACAGATAGTCTGGGAAGAGCAATAAACCAAACATTCCAGAGACAGAAGTAAGTTAATGCCTGTGGGAATGCTAACACACCCATGTGCTGAGTACTGGGAGAACCAGTACTGGGAGAATCTTGGGGAACCTTTTAATTATGTTTTTGCTTGTGAAAACTCGTTTTGATTTAAACTGGTAAAAGATCTGCTCCACCTGAAAAATCCTACTCATTACTGCTGCTTTATATCTGCAGAGTCATCCCACCAGTTTAGTATATCATCTTCAACTCCTGTTTGGGAGATAGCTCCTCCCACTGCACCACAGCTCTTGATTGTTTTATCTGATAATGACTGCCTGGGAGGTATGCAGGGGTCTCAATTAGGGCGTGGACTGAGGAGGTTTCTAACAGAGGGACAGGACTCTTTTCCTCATAGAAATAGAGCTATGAAAATTGGATAAACTAGATGCCTTTCCATGAGGGAGTAATATTTAAGCTCTATTACTTGCCTCAAAATGTGTGTTTTCCCTGAAGAATGGCCATCCCAAGAAAATCAGCAAGTGACGTGCTCCCTATTATTTTTTTAAATGTGAAGACCAGACTTTTGCACTTGCAATTCCAATTGCAGCCTTACAAACACGTTACAAAGCAGAAAAGCAATATAACTTATGTTCTGCATGAGACTTTTCCTTCGGAGAGTGCATGTGTAGCTACATACACACACGCGTGTTTCAGTCTTGGATTAGATTTACATAATGGCATCACACTGTGAATTCATACAATAATCAATTTATTATCTAGAGCTAATTCATGTTTCTTCTCGACTGTATTCTAGGTAACAATCTTTAGTTTAAATCTATACTATATGCTATTCTTACCTAAATGTATTATCATACACTTCTTTACATTAAACCTCATCTGACTCCGTCCAGTGCCTCAAATGATCAAACGATCCAAATCTCTCTGTACATTGAATCTATCTTCTTCTTTATTTGCTATACCTCCTAGTTTTATGTCATCTGCAAAATGATCAATATCCAACATTTAGCTAAGATGAAGAAATACCTGCTTGTTAGAATTAGTGACAAACCCAAATGAAGGGAATAAAAGTTTTGTGATGACTTCCCCTGAATTTTTTCCTATATGTTTTTTTTAATTGGAATTGGAACTCATTATCTGTGAGTGGAAAGGTGAAAAATGAAGGACTTATAGGAAATATTTAGCTTCCGTGGTATACAGAAGATTTGGGTTTTTCAAGGTTGACTTTTGAGAAGGAATGAATGTCAAAACTGCACAAAAAAGCATGAAAACACCCTTATTGTCTGAACCTGAACAAGTTGGGTGTTTGGGTTCTCTGGCAGCAGTGGGTGGGACAGAGTAGTAGGAGAAGTTCACTGATGAAATAATATACAAGTGTATATTGAATCCAATTAACTAAGAATAATGGCAATTTGCATATGATGTGTTTAAACAATATGTATTTTGAAGCACATCAGGTTATCTGGTCAAGGTGCAAACAATCTTTTCCCTCAGACCTCCAGAGAGAAGTGAGGCTAGAGACAGCTAAGATCAGAACAAAAGGGACCTTGAGATTATTTTCACGTTCTCTCATGCTGGGTGAGCAAGCATGTCACTGGATAAGACAGGAGTCAGCTGTCATTTTTAAGAGCATACCTTTAATGGTCTTCACCTTTTGTTGTAAAAAGCTTTCCAACAGCATAAACAAATCCACTAGACACTTTTTAGTAGTGTACTTTTTGTATAATCAGTTTTTATATTTCCTGTGCTATACAAGCTGTCCCTCATCAGTCATGTTCACATGCAATAATTAAACAATTATTTGACTGCATCATGTTTAAGGACATATATTAGGAGGCATGATACCCAAAAGAAAACTAGTCCATTATACATGGTAGACAGGAGAACCAGTCCATCAGCTGGGCTGACAGCAGTGGGAAAGTGGCAGAACCCAGAGATGCCATTCATTTATTCTAAGGGCTGGTCTACACTAGGAGGGGAGATTGATCTAAGATACGCAACTTCAGCTACGCGAATAGCGTAGCTGAAGTCGAAGTATCTAACGGTATGTCTACACTACGAAATTAGGTCGAATTTACAGACGCTGGTTTTATAGATATCGGTTTCATACAGTCGACTGCGTGTGTCCCCACATAAAATGCTCTAAGTGCATTAAGTCGGTGGACTGCGTCCACAGTACCCAGGCTAGCGTCGACTTCCGGAGCATTGCACTGTGGGTAGCTATCCCACAGTTCCCACAGTCTCCGCCGCCCATTGGAATTCTGGGTTGAGATCCCAATGCCTGATGATGCAAAACAGTGTCGCGGCGGGTTCTGGGTACATGTCATCAGGCCCCTCCCCCTCTGTCAGAGCAACGGCAGACAATCGATTCGCGCCTTTTTAACTGGGTTACCTGTGCAGACAACATACCACGGCAAGCATGGAGCCCACTCAGCTCAGCTCAGCATCACCATATGTCATCTGGGTGCCGGCAGACGTGGTACTGCATTGCTACACAGCAGCAGCCCCTTGCCTTTTGGCAGTAGATGGTATATTACGACTGGTATCCGTCATTGTAGTATTCCAGTTCGATCAGAGGCACCTGGGCAGACATGCTTTGTCTCCTGGAGACTCAGTCCCGCCAGCAGTCCTATTGAACCGTCTTGACGATGATGGCTAGCAGTCGTAGTACAGTATCTTCTGCCAAGCACCCAGAAGATGCCGAGGGCTATCAGGCAAGGTGCA